CAGGCTCGAAAAACGACGTGAGTATAATTAGGAGGGAAGCATTTTTATTGGTCGAAAAATAGAAAAACTTTAAAATATTTTATTTTTCGACCAGAACTCGTGCATTGGGAATATGCGTAAATGATGATAATGGTCATTTTGTGATGGGCCCTTGTCCCGTTCACATCCGGCTCTCGCTCTTAAGTATGTTAGTTTATTTACCTGCAAATCAGCCGAGATATGTCTTATTTTATTTTATAACATAGGTAAGAACGAAGAGGAAATGGAAAGACATAAGAGAGAAAATGAATTATAATGAAATAGGTGAGAAATCAAGACAAAATCCAGAGCTAAAATAAAGGAAAAAATAATGATGAAATAGGTGAGAACCAAGAAGAAATAGAAAGAAATGAGAAAGAAAAAGAATGATGACGAAATATGTAAGAAACCAGAGGAAATCAAAAGAAATGAGAAAGAAAAAGAATGATGACGAAATATGTAAGAAACCAGAGGAAATCAAAAGAAATGAGAAAGAAAAAGAATGATGACGAAATATGTAAGAAACCAGAGGAAATCAAAAGAAATGAGAAAGAAAAAGAATGATGACGAAATATGTAAGAAACCAGAGGAAATCAAAAGAAATGAGAAGGAAAAAGAATGATGACGAAATATGTAAGAAACCAGAGGAAATCAAAAGAAATGAGAAAGAAAAAGAATGATGACGAAATATGTAAGAAACCAGAGGAAATGAAAAAAGAAATGAGAAAGAAAAAGAATGATGACGAAATATGTAAGAAACCAGAGGAAATGAAAAAAGAAATGAGAAAGAAAAAGAATGATGACGAAATATGTAAGAAACCAGAGGAAAAAAAAAAAAGAAATGAGAAAAAAAAAAGAATGATGACGAAATATGTAAGAAACCAGAGGAAATGAAAAAAGAAATGAGAAAGAAAAAGAATGATGACGAAATATGTAAGAAAACCAGAGGAAATCAAAAAAAGAAATGAGAAAGAAAAAGAATGATGACGAAATATGTAAGAAACCAGAGGAAATGAAAAAAGAAATGAGAAAGAAAAAGAATGATGACGAAATATGTAAGAAACCAGAGGAAATCAAAAGAAATGAGAAAAAAAAAAGAATGATGACGAAATATGTAAGAAACCAGAGGAAATAAAAAAAAAAGAAATGAGAAAGAAAAAGAATGATGATGAAATATGTAAGAAACCAGAGGAAATCAAAAGAAATGAGAAAGAAAAAGAATGATGACGAAATATGTAAGAAACCAGAGGAAATCAAAAGAAATGAGAAAGAAAAGAATGATGACGAAATATGTAAGAAACCAGAGGAAATCAAAAGAAATGAGAAAGAAAAGAATGATGACGAAATATGTAAGAAACCAGAGGAAATGAAAAAAGAAATAAGAAAGAAAAAGAATGATGATGAAATATGTAAGAAAAACCAGAGGAAATCAAAAAGAAATGAGAAAGAAAAAGAATGATGACGAAATATGTAAGAAACCAGAGGAAATCAAAAGAAATGAGAAAGAAAAAGAATGATGACGAAATATCTAAGAAACCAGAGGAAATCAAAAGAAATGAGAAAGAAAAAGAATGATGACGAAATATGTAAGAAACCAGAGGAAATGAAAAAGAAATGAGAAAGAAAAAAGAATGATGACGAAATATTTAAGAAACCAGAGGAAATCAAAAGAAATGAGAAAGAAAAGAATGATGACGAAATATTTAAGAAACCAGAGGAAATCAAAAGCAATGAGAAAGAAAAAAAAAATGATGACGAAATATCTAAGAAACCAGAGGAAATCAAAAGAAATGAGAAAGAAAAAGAATGATGATGAAATATGTAAGAAACCAGAGGAAATCAAAAGAAATGACAAAGAAAAAGAATGATGACGAAATATTTAAGAAAACAGAGGAAATCAAAAGAAATGAGAAAGAAAAAGAATGATGACGAAATATGTAAGAAACCAGAGGAAATCAAAAGAAATGAGAAAGAAAAAGAATGATGACGAAATATGTAAGAAACCAGAGGAAATCAAAAGAAATGAGAAGGAAAAAGAATGATCACGAAATATGTAAGAAAACAGAGGAAATCAAAAGAAATGAGAAGGAAAAAGAATGATCACGAAATATGTAAGAAAACAGAGGAAATCAAAAGAAATGAGAAAGAAAAAGAATGATGACGAAATATGTAAGAAACCAGAGGAAGTCAAAAGAAATGAGAAAGAAAAAGAATGATGACGAAATATGTAAGAAACCAGAGGAAATCAAAGGAAATGAGAAAGAAAAAGAATGATGACGAAATATGTAAGAAACCAGAAGAAATCAAAAGAAATGAGAAAGAAAAGAATGATGATGAAATATTTAAGAAACCAGAGGAAATCAAAAAGAAATGAGAAAGAAAAGAATCATGATGAAATATTTAAGAAACCAGAGGAAATCAAAAGAAATGAGAAAGAAAAAGAATGATGACGAAATATTTGAGAAACCAGAGGAAATCAAAAGAAATGAGAAAGTAAAAAAGAATGATGACGAAATATTTGAGAAACCAGAGGAAATCAAAAGAAATGAGAAAGAAAAAAGAATGATGACGAAATATGTAAGAAACCAGAGGAAATCAAAAGCAATGAGAAAGAAAAAAGAATGATGATGAAATATCTAAGAAACCAGAGGAAATCAAAAAAAAGAAATGAGAAAGAAAAAAGAATGATGACGAAATATCTAAGAAACCAGAGGAAATCAAAAGAAATGAGAAAAAAAAAAAGAATGATGACGAAATATTTAAGAAACCAGAGGAAATCAAAAGAAATAAGAAAGAAAAAGAATGATGATGAAATATGTAAGAAACCAGAGGAAATCAAAAGAAATGAGAAAGAAAAAGAATGATGACGAAATATGTAAGAAACCAGAGGAAATCAAAAGAAATGAGAAAGAAAAAGAATGATGACGAAATATGTAAGAAACCAGAGGAAATCAAAAGAAATGAGAAAGAAAAAGAATGATGACGAAATATGTAAGAAACCAGAGGAAATGAAAAAAGAAATGAGAAAGAAAAAGAATGATGACGAAATATCTAAGAAACCAGAGGAAATCAAAAGAAATGAGAAAGAAAAAGAATGATGACGAAATATCTAAGAAACCAGAGGAAATCAAAAGCAATGAGAAAGAAAAAAAATGATGACGAAATATCTAAGAAACCAGAGGAAATCAAAAGAAATGAGAAAGAAAAAGAATGATGATGAAATATGTAAGAAACCAGAGGAAATCAAAAGAAATGACAAAGAAAAAGAATGATGACGAAATATTTAAGAAAACAGAGGAAATCAAAAGAAATGAGAAAAGAAAAAGAATGATGACGAAATATGTAAGAAACCAGAGGAAATCAAAAGAAATGAGAAAGAAAAGAATGATGACGAAATATGTAAGAAACCAGAGGAAATCAAAAGAAATGAGAAAGAAAAAAAGAATGATCACGAAATATGTAAGAAAACAGAGGAAATCAAAAGAAATGAGAAGGAAAAGAATGATCACGAAATATGTAAGAAAACAGAGGAAATCAAAAGAAATGAGAAAGAAAAAGAATGATGACGAAATATGTAAGAAACCAGAGGAAGTCAAAAGAAATGAGAAAGAAAAAGAATGATGACGAAATATGTAAGAAACCAGAGGAAATCAAAGGAAATGAGAAAGAAAAAGAATGATGACGAAATATGTAAGAAACCAGAAGAAATCAAAAGAAATGAGAAAGAAAAAGAATGATGACGAAATATTTAAGAAACCAGAGGAAATCAAAAGAAATGAGAAAGAAAAAGAATCATGATGAAATATTTAAGAAACCAGAGGAAATCAAAAGAAATGAGAAAGAAAAAGAATGATGACGAAATATTTGAGAAACCAGAGGAAATCAAAAGAAATGAGAAAGAAAAAGAATGATGACGAAATATTTGAGAAACCAGAGGAAATCAAAAGAAATGAGAAAGAAAAAGAATGATGACGAAATATGTAAGAAACCAGAGGAAATCAAAAGCAATGAGAAAGAAAAAGAATGATGATGAAATATCTAAGAAACCAGAGGAAATCAAAAGCAATGAGAAAGAAAAAGAATGATGACGAAATATCTAAGAAACCAGAGGAAATCAAAAGAAATGAGAAAGAAAAAGAATGATGACGAAATATGTAAGAAACCAGAGGAAATCAAAAGAAATGACAAAGAAAAAGAATGATGACGAAATATTTAAGAAAACAGAGGAAATCAAAAGAAATGAGAAAGAAAAAGAATGATGACGAAATATGTAAGAAACCAGAGGAAATCAAAAGAAATGAGAAAGAAAAAGAATGATGACGAAATATGTAAGAAACCAGAGGAAATCAAAAGAAATGAGAAAGAAAAGAATGATGACGAAATATTTAAGAAACCAGAGGAAATCAAAAGAAATGAGAAAGAAAAAGAATGATCACGAAATATTTAAGAAAACAGAGGAAATCAAAAGAAATGAGAAAGAAAAAAGAATGATGACGAAATATTTAAGAAACCAGAAGAAATCAAAAGAAATGAGAAAGAAAAGAATGATGACGAAATATTTAAGAAACCAGAGGAAATCAAAAGAAATGAGAAAGAAAAAGAATGATGACGAAATATGTAAGAAACCAGAAGAAATCAAAAGAAATGAGAAAGAAAAAGAATCATGATGAAATATTTAAGAAACCAGAGGAAATCAAAAGAAATGAGAAAGAAAAAGAATGATGACGAAATATGTAAGAAACCAGAGGAAATCAAAAGAAATGAGAAAGAAAAAGAATGATGACGAAATATGTAAGAAACCAGAGGAAATCAAAAGAAATGAGAAAGAAAAAGAATGATGATGAAATATGTAAGAAAACAGAGGAAATCAAAAGAAATGAGAAAGAAAAGAATGATGACGAAATATGTAAGAAACCAGAGGAAATCAGAAGAAATGAGAAAGAAAAAGAATGATGACGAAATATTTGAGAAACCAGAGGAAATCAAAAGAAATGAGAAAGAAAAAGAATGATGACGAAATATTTGAGAAACCAGAGGAAATCAAAAGAAATGAGAAAGAAAAAGAATGATGACGAAATATGTAAGAAACCAGAGGAAATCAAAAGCAATGAGAAAGAAAAAGAATGATGATGAAATATCTAAGAAACCAGAGGAAATCAAAAGAAATGAGAAAGAAAAAGAATGATGACGAAATATGTAAGAAACCAGAGGAAATCAAAAGAAATGAGAAAGAAAAAGAATGATGACGAAATATGTAAGAAACCAGAGGAAATCAAAAGAAATGAGAAAGAAAAAGAATGATGACGAAATATTTGAGAAACCAGAGGAAATCAAAAGAAATGAGAAAGAAAAAAAAGAATGATGACGAAATATCTAAGAAACCAGAGGAAATCAAAAGAAATGAGAAAGAAAAAGAATGATGACGAAATATGTAAGAAACCAGAGGAAATCAAAAGAAATGAGAAAAAAAAGAATGATGATGAAATATCTAAGAAACCAGAGGAAATCAAAAGAAATAAGAAAGAAAAAGAATGATGACGAAATATGTAAGAAACCAGAGGAAATCAAAAGCAATGAGAAAGAAAAAGAATGATGATGAAATATCTAAGAAACCAGAGGAAATCAAAAGAAATGAGAAAGAAAAAGAATGATGACGAAATATGTAAGAAACCAGAGGAAATCAAAAGAAATGAGAAAGAAAAAGAATGATGACGAAATATTTGAGAAACCAGAGGAAATCAAAAGAAATGAGAAAGAAAAAGAATGATGACGAAATATGTAAGAAACCAGAGGAAATCAAAAGCAAAAAGAAAAAGAATGATGATGAAATATCTAAGAAACCAGAGGAAATCAAAAGAATTGATAAAGAAAATGAATGATGACGAAATATGTAAGAAACCAGAGGAAATCAAAAGAAATGAGAAAGAAAAAGAATGATGACGAAATATGTAAGAAACCAGAGGAAATCAAAAGAAATGAGAAAGAAAAAGAATGATGACGAAATATGTAAGAAACCAGAGGAAATCAAAAGAAATAAGAAAGAAAAAGAATGATGATGAAATATGTAAGAAACCAGAGGAAATCAAAAGAAATGAGAAAAAAAAGAATGATGATGAAATATGTAAGAAACCAGAGGAAATCAAAAGAAATGAGAAAGAAAAAGAATGATGACGAAATATGTAAGAAACCAGAGGAAATGAAAAAAGAAATGAGAAAGAAAAAGAATAATGACGAAATATCTAAGAAACCAGAGGAAATCAAAAGAAATGAGAAAGAAAAAGAATGATGACGAAATATGTAAGAAACCAGAGGAAATCAAAAGCAATGAGAAAGAAAAAGAATGATGACGAAATATCTAAGAAACCAGAGGAAATCAAAAGAAATGAGAAAGAAAAAGAATGATGACGAAATATGTAAGAAACCAGAGGAAATCAAAAGAAATGAGAAAGAAAAAGAATGATGACAAAATATTTGAGAAACCAGAGGAAATCAAAAGAAATGAGAAAGAAAAAGAATGATGACGAAATATGTAAGAAACCAGAGGAAATCAAAAGCAATGAGAAAGAAAAAGAATGATGATGAAATATGTAAGAAACCAGAGGAAATCAAAAGAAATGAGAAAGAAAAAGAATGATGATGAAATATGTAAGAAAACAGAGGAAATCAAAAGAAATGAGAAAGAAAAAGAAATGAGAAAGAAAAAGAATGATGACGAAATATTTGAGAAACCAGAGGAAATCAAAAGAAATGAGAAAGAAAAAGAATGATGACGAAATATGTAAGAAACCAGAGGAAATCAAAAGAAATGAGAAAGAAAAAGAATGATGATGAAATAGGTGAGAACCAAGATGAAACCGATAGACATAAGAAAGAAAAAGAATGATGATGAAAGAGGTATGTGCCAAGATGAAATATAATGAAATTAGGAAGAAAAAGAAAAAATGAAAGAGAAATAATCTAAATTCTAAGTAAAAATAAATATCAATGCCATTTTCAGAATAATGGAATTCTTTTTCTTTCTCAAGTATTTGTTTCATTCGATCAGTGTCATTGTGTCAATTGACCATCTGAATGGTCAAGTAATGGTTCAATATAATTGTGATGGTTTCAGTAGAGGTGAAAGTTATTTATTACTGTATACTTCCGTGTATGTTACTCCTTGCATATAAAATTACACACCTGCTGTGTCCCTCATTCATCTTGCAAAAACTGGTTGTAATAGATAAGTCACATGTCTCTACATGCATTTATTTGTGTCAGTATCAATATATCTGTTCATCCCAACATGTGTGTATTTGTGTGCACATATATCTAATGACAAAGGATTTATATCTTCATCATCTGTATACATATAGACACACAGCTTGCTATTTTATATAAGTGGGTGCTGAAATGTTCTTAGCCCGAGCAAGACAAACTCCAAAATATATTCTGATACTTGGTTGGAATATTTCACTTACATATATATGAATTTATAATATATATACATGCATGTACACAGTTGCATAGCATAGGCTGGGGCAGAGGGTTGATTGCCCCCAGCACTAAATTTTTAGGGGAAGAAAATTTAATTAGTTTGAGAAAATATATGCAAAAGTAGAATATATAACAGCTCCTGGCTATGGAGGATGTGCAAGAGTTTAAATTGCTCAGTGCACTGTAAATCCACCCTATGCTACTGCATGGACATGCACACACATATTGCCTATTTATGTATATTACAACCCATCCAGATAAGAATATAATCAAAAACATTTTCGTATTTAGTTTGAGGCAATGATAAGGAAACTTGCCTGGCAAGCTATTATTTAGTATTGTGAGATTCAGTTCTGTTATGACCTTGTACCAGAATATAATGTTTTACAGAATAGCTGAGAAGATTGAATATATCATATCTGTTCATCCCACAGCTAACATTCATGTTAGTGGCCATTTCAGTATTCACTATAAGGAATGGTTAGTTTACTCTAACAAAACTGATGAAGTATTGTCATGATTTCTCTGTCATATATAAGCTGACCTAAATCATGGATAAGCCTATTGATGTTCCTGACATAGCTGGGTATCATATTCACTTTCTACATTTCTTCCTTATCTTATATCATTACAAGTGTTTCACAGACTTGTTGCCTCCCCTGATCAGTTGTGGTAGATTTGCTAGGATAATATTTTGTGTTTATTTATTAAAAACTTTGGAATTAAAACAAACTGGATCAAGAGTATAATATATAAACAAAGAATATATATTTATTCATTTGATTTAGATTGGAGTTAGTTCTTTGATATTTGGTGTAGCAAAAGTTTGTTCCAAGTTCGATCTTGGTAGCAATCAGGAGAAAGTCTACTTTGGCTTGGTATTCAACAGTTTAGAAGTCAGGACTTGGTAGTAGTATTCATCTTAGAAATCAGTCAGCATCAATCTACTGTGTTTTTCTCAGACTAAGAAGGGCAGAAATTATCAGTAGTAGATGACCTTTTAGCTACTTCATGCATTACACATAGCTGTCTTTTACAGTCTCTTCTCTTCTAGCTCAGAGCTGTTATAATAAGTGTTTAGTTGTAAACGGAAAGGAATAACAAGGATTATATTTTAAACAACATGTATTTGTAAAGTATACAAGGTATTTCACAGTGTTATTGGAAATTGGTGAAATGTAGACTGATCGTAAAGGAGGAGATTATGTGTAAGGATAGTACCAGAGTTGACCGAATTTTGGGGTAGGTTTGAAAGAGGTCACAGGATATAGTAGTAGGGTGGGTTGGTTGCTGAGGTGATGAGGGATTGCTGTAGCTGGTAGGCCTGTGGTGGTATGTCACACTGCAAGGATATGCCAGTCACAGGATATAGTCGTTGGTCAAGTCTGATGCACATGTTGATTAATCAAGATTATTGTGGTGGGTCAATTAGTGGTAGGGTGCGTTGGTTGATGAGGCAATGAGGGATTTGTGTATCTGGTCAGCCTGTGATAGAATGTCTTACTGCAAGAGGATGCCTGTAGCAAGTCAGGTTAGTAGCAATAAGGAAGTTGGATATTTTTTCAATGAAACAGGGATGCAGTAATGAATGTGAAGGAATTCTTGTAGTGAGTCAAGTATGCTGAGGTGACATGGTGGCGACAAGGAATTAGGTATAGCTGGTTGGCCTGTAGTGGTATGTCTTACTGTGAGGGTATGCATATAGTGAGTCAGGTTCCATTGGTAATGTGAAAGTGTTGTAGCTGGGTGGTGTCAACAATGGAATGTTATAAATTGTGATGGCTTGGCATCAGGAGCCTGGCGGGTGTCAAAGCCAGAGAGTCAGCCACATGTGATGTTACAAATGGTGTAAAAGTTTGTAGTGTTGAAGTTGATCTCTGTTGGTTTCCAAGTGTTAAGAGTTGGATGATTAGTCAAGTCTGGGAGTGATAACAGTTGATTTGAGAGCAGCGTTTGTGGTGGTGACAGCCGCAGAATTCTGCATGTTGGCAGGTGGCCTGATAGTTGGAGACTGCTCATGGTCATTATGGGAAACCTGCTTTTAAGTAGATCTAGCAGTCCAAGGGGGAATATTTGCAATTGTCCAGTGTCACTTTCATTGTGGGGGCTAGCTTCATGAACTGGATGTGATGCTCGGAGCCTATCTACAAAAAACGACTTTTTAATTTTGTTTTCTGCCTTCATGGTGTTCACATGTAGTCAGCATGCAGAATGTATCAGAAAGAGATCTAAGTGCAACAGAGTATAACAGAACTGTCAGTTTATATCCTTTTGACCAGGCTCCCAGATTACTGGTGTGAACCTTGGTTTCAGCTAACATCAAAATTAACCTTGTGTTAATTTTTTTGATTGGCCTAATTTATTTTATTTTCTGGCATTACATTCTTTTTCATTTTTTTTATATAGCAGAAGTTATGCATGTAGCCTTTCTAATTTTTGGCAGTTTTTAGTCATAAATGGCTAAACTCTAGTTCAGCAAAATTCGATTTTTTTCTAGGTTCAGTTTTTTTTCTCTAATCACTTTCACCGCATGCAAAATAATAAAGCCACTAAGACACAAAGGGTTAGAATTAGGAAGAATTAGGAATGGAATCATTAATAATGAGCAGGAAGAGAAGAGAGTACTCAGGTGGACAGTAGATAGTGATTGATATTGCATTTAAATTTTTGCAGATTAAAGTTGACTGGAAAGCATGGAGCTGGATGGGAAATCCACAAGTGAGAAGTGCGAGATAAGAAACTGTTAGCATAGAAGTTATGGCTACATCTCGCCAGCTCATCTGTAAATTGATGAGACCTCAACAAGTCTAGTGCTCGCTTAAATTCAAAAAGGCTAGGTACCATAGCAAAGAACTCATTCAGACAATTACCATGATACTATTTATAGAAAAGGAACAGAGAGAAAACCTTATAGCAATGCTTCTTCTTTTTTTTTTTTTATTTGAGAGTTGCCTTCTCATTAGTTGAGAAGGAAGTATATAGAGAGAAGTTTAGAGAGAGAGAGAGTAAGAAAGAGATAAAAGTTTTAAAGGAAAGTGCGAATGCCTTATTTTAATTTGAATTCTTTTTTTTTTTTGTTGTTTATATTATTTTTATATATTTTTTTTAATCAGGGCTCACTACACCCTCACAGATCTATGTCAAAATTGATGTCAAACTGAAGGTATCCTCTGATGTTGCATTTCATAAGATCTATCAATACACCAAAACTGATTGTAATAACTTCAGATCTTATACTGTGAAAGATTTTTTTTTACCATTCTTCAAAATAGAACTTTCAGAACAGCCTCTCTCATTTTTGAATTGTAAGTTTTATCCTATATTTAAAGTATCAAGAATCACTAAATAGCCAGCTTTGATTCATGCCTGAATGTGTTGCTGCCATAATTCATGATAACCATGTCTGTCATCTATATCAGAGCTAACAGTGTAGCACAACTCTTGCCACATTCAGAACAATTTGTGCAAGAGAACCCTGAAAAAGTCAAAGAGCAGCTGTGTACAGACAGTTCAATCTATAGTTGAAAAGATGTGGTTTCCACAAGTTCTGGAAAATGACAAACAAGATTCCAAACACAGGCAAGCCATTAGTACCTTCTATTACAAATGGTTCTGAAGTTATCTCCTTGTCAGATAAGGTGAAGATCTTTGCAATGAACTTTGCCTCTAACTGCATATTATATGGTAAGTGCAATCCCTTACCAGAATTAGCCACTCTCACAGAGTAAAGATTTCTAATTTTTCTATCTCATCTTAGGAAATTTCCAGAAAATCAAAATGCCTTGTCTGTACAAAGGTTATTGGTCCAGATAAAATTTATGTGGCTGTTCTTAAGAACATTAGCCCAGAGCTATCAGCAGTTTTGGCAAAGTTGTTTTAACTGCTGCTTGAAGGAGAAATATTTCCCAAGTCAATGGAAAGTGTCAGCTTTTATGCTCACTTTACAAGAATATGCGTGATCTCTCATCCCTGTCACAATATCACCCCATCAGCCTCCTTAGTATCATCAGCAAACTTTTTGAGTTTATAATCAAGAAGAAAGTTGTTGATTACCTCAACAGACACAAGCTCCTAAGCAACAGACAGTATGGATTTGGCTCCTCTAGCTCCACTGCTGATATCCAAACTACACACAGAATCATTGAAGCATTCATCATGAGAGCAATCACCTTAGATATTTCAAAGGTTTTTGACGAGATATGACATAGGTTGTTACTACACAAACACTCTAGTTATGGCATCTCTGGAAGAGACTTCTCAATTATCAAGTCTTTCCTATCAGGCATGTCCATGAAGGTGGTTGTAAATGATCTGTCTTGTCATGCCAATGAGATCAATGCAGGCATCGCCCAAGGATCTTGCCTTGCTCCTACCCTGTTTCTGTTTTATATTAACAATTTATCTAAGGATATTCTCAGATCATTAGTAAATATATGTATGTAGACGATACCATGGTTATGAGTACACCTCTAAAAATCTAA